GTATATGAGTGTATTGCCTGCATGTATGTAAGTGTACCCATGTCATGCAATGCCCATGGAAGTCAGAAGAATGTGTGGGAACCCACTGGAACTGGAGTTATGGACAGTTATTAACCATCATGTGGGTGCTAGAAACCAAACCTGGGTCCTCTGCAAAAGGAGCCAGTGCTCTTAACCACTTAGCCATCACTTGAGCCCCCAAAACTGATTTTGTAATAAATACTAAAAAATTAGCCGGGTGTGGTGGCACATACCTTTAATCCTAGCACTCGGGAGACAGAAGCAGGTGGAGCTCTCTGAGATTAAGAGGTCAACCTGGTCTATGTAGCAAGTTCCAGGCCAGTTAGGGCTACAGGGAGGCCTGGTCTCAAAACAAGCAAACAAAAAAACTAAAAAGTTATGTTTTAGGAAGTCAAGGCAAATTAGGTTGTACAAGGAAGTAGAAATACTTGGAAGGTGATGCAAAAAGCAAGTGAATACCACAATGACTTTTATTTATCAAGAGGCTCAACCCTGAAGAAAGAGGTGGTATCACAAGGTAAATACTACAGGCCAAGACATCAAAACAAGGCAAAATCATGTAAGGGAAATAAGGTCAATATAAAAGACCATCTGAATTGTCTTTTACAAAAGCATCTAAGCTTTGATGCAACAAGTCCTCTTTCAGATATCTGTATGTGTAAGACTAATCATTTCAGTACTGTTTCAAGGCAAAAAAAAAAAAACCCTAGAAACAAATCAATAGAGCCAGAGGTAAAGGACTCCTACATGTATAATAATACAGACATAAAATGGACTGAGGAAGCTACATACTAATATCAATCATGTCAAAGCTGAGAAAAGAGAATATATTACTTGTGTTTAAAATCACATACACACACTTGTACACAGACTATCATTGAAAAGATATACAGAAATCTAATAACTATGATTGCTTCCAGAAAACAGAAGGATATCTAGGAAATGATGGAATAATAAAAACTGTATATTCTTAATCTTTAAATTTTGAGCCATGTTGTATTTTGCCTACTAAATTTTAATCTATCTTTATGAAAAAGGATAGAAAAGGCTGGGCATACTAGGAAGCCGTATGCACGATAAACAGACGTATATTGAAAACGGTCAAAACTTGAGGAAAATTTTCCCTGCTAGGTAACTGTTTTTGGTTTTTGGTTTGAGAGGCATGGGAGCCTTCATTTCTGTATCCAAAGCTGTTTACCACATTTAGAGTGTTTTTATCCACATTCGTTTAGTAGATGAAAGTTCCTCCCACTTCTACATGTTTATGTTTCAGAGACCTCAAATTTCATTCCAGGGATTCAAGTTCCCCAGACTTTCTTCTGTATTAATCAAGGAAATTAAAAAAAATGGTTTGGAATTATAATATAATAGGAACACAATTCAAGATTCACTATGCTACCACACAGTCATGGTTTAAGAATCTCACCTGCACCAGAAGCAGTAAGAGCCACGAGAAGAAAGCCCCACCTCAGGGGCTCCAGTGGCATTAATCAGCTCAAGAACCTACTAACAGGAAAACCCCACGTCCCCGCTCACACTTGGGTGCTAAGCTTTATCTTGGTCTTTCAACATTAATTACATGAAAAGAAGGAACAATCTCAATTAATGCAGAACTAGAAGAAAGCTCAGTTGAGAATATAAAGGCACTTTATTCTCTGCAGTGAATTAAGTGATTCAATTAAGTGATTAAGGAATTTAAGAGTTCGAAAGTATCAGAAATCACCCCAGAGACGACGTAAATTCCTCAACTTGGTTATCTTTTTCTGAAGTTCTTTCCCTTCATCAGTAGGAATACTAAAATTCGTAAGCTAAACAGTTAAAATCTAGTTTTTCAGACAGCTGGTCAGTTACACATATGAACTCACAGCAATGGTGACAGCATGCACAAGTCCTATGCAAGCTCAAACCAGACAAAATACCAGCATAGACATGGGGAAGTGGGTAAGAAACCCCAACCTAAACAAATTTTGGCAACTGTTGGCTACTGGGATGGAGAAAGACAGTCTCTTACAGGGATGAGACTCTTAGAAGGTTTACCAGGCTCCAGGGATGGACCCACACTGAAGGACATTTGGGGATACAAATAAGATTTTATAAACTTTACTGTATGTATGTATGTAGGTGCACCCATGTCCTTCAGTGCGGATAGGAGAGGGGATCAAATTGTATGAAAACAAAAATTCAATAAAATTTTTTAAAAAATTAACCATGCTCACAATTGGGTTACAGAAACCAGAAGGGTAGAGATGTGGAAATGCTTAATATTTATTATTTTTATTTTATGTGTATGAGTATATTGCTTGCATGTAGGTAAGTGCACCAGTGTCATGCAATGCCCACTGAGGACAGAAGAGGCTGTCGGATCCTCTGGGACTGGAGTTATGGACAGTTGTTAGCTGCCATGTGAGTGCTGGGGTAGGAACCTGGGTCTTCTGCAAGAACAGCCAGTGTTCTTAACCTCTGAGCCACTTCTCCAGCCCTGAGACGTGGAATGTTTAGAGAAAAGCAGATTACACTGTATGAAGGAAGTATGATGTGTCTAAACATTGAAGAATGAAGGGCCTGGGCACCAAGGAAATGTTATACTAGTAGCCTAAGGCAGAATAACAAACTGCTGCCAAAATGTCTGTTACTAATCAACTCCTTAACAATTTGGGTTCTAATTTTGGTCATACCACGAAGCAGATGTATAAGGCTGAACAAGTAGCTTTTCTCTTTTGGCTTCTCTAAATTTAGGGGGTAATACATGCAGCCTTATCTAGAAGTTTTTGCTACTTTTTTGTTTTGTGAAAAAAAAAAAAAAGAAGAATCAGATGTAAAATACTTAGGGCTTACCACATAGTAGGCACTCAGTAAATGGGAACTATTATTATACAATAATAAAACTCTTGACTGTAGTCAAGATCTTAACTAAGTGATTATGTTAGAGATGTTACAGTAACTGCACGTCATGGGTGCACTTACACACATGCAAGAAATACACATACACACAAAATAAAAATATTTTTTTAAAAAAAAGTTACATTGGGGGCTGGAGAGATGGCTCAGTAGTTAAGAGCACTGACTGCTCTTGCAAAGGACCCGGGTTCGATTCCCAGCACCCACATGGCAGCTACAAACCATCCTTAACTCAGTTCCAGGGGAATCCGAAGGCCTCCTCTGACCTCCGCAGCATTGCACGACACAGATGCACTCACATACATGCAGGCAATACACTCATACACATTAGAAAAAAAAAAAAGTTACGTTAAGTCCACTGATTAGTGATTAGTGGCATTTAAAGTTATTTCTACCTCTCCTAGTTAAGAGTCAGGAAATCTAAAATTCTTTTGAGTCTCTCCTGAGAAGAGATTAAAAGAGAATGATACATAAAAGATGTTTCCTTGAAAACAAAGACCAATGTTAACACAGTAGTTAAGTCAGATACTCAAAGGCTGGACTCTTAGCCAGGCAACAAATTACAGAGCTTTGATGTTGTTACCTTTTAAACTTTTCCCTTACTGGAAGTAATCTATCAGGTGACATTACTACAGTGTGCAGTTTCTGTCAACTCTATACAAACTAGAGTCACCTAGGAGGGGAACTTCAACTGAGGAATTTCCTCAGTCAGACTGGCCTGTGGGCATGTCTGTGAGGTATTTTCTAAATTAATTGATGTAGGAAGGTCCATCACACTGTGGATGGTGCCATCCCTGGGAGGTGGGCCTTGGCTGTTAAAGAAAAGTAATTGATCAAGTCAGAGGGAAGCAAGCCAGTAAGCAGCATTCCTCCATGGTCTCAGTTCCTGTCTCCAAGTTCCTGCTTGAGTTCCTGCCCTGACTTCCCAGAGTAATGGATTATGACCTGGGAGTTGTAAATTTTTATCACATCAACAAAAAATAGGTAGAGCAGGGGATATATGTGAGGTGCCAAAATCATGACTTGTAAGAACCACAACTTGCTACAGAATAAAATCAGTCAAACATGGCAAACACTGCAGTGCCCCACATCTGTCATGACTTGAATTCTCACAGAGATGGCTAACTGGAAGGTAGGACTCCTCTGACAGCACAGGTGATCAGAGAGAAAGAATGAATAAGTAGGATGTAGCTCTGCTACCTTCCAAAGCAAGACTCCAAATGAACATTAGTCTCTCCAGAGCTCCAAAATCTGTACAGAAGTGTCTAGTACCATGGGTTTCCATTGGTTTTGATTCTTGATTGTTAAGGGAGGTTTTGATGGTTGGTTTGTTCATTCTGAGCTTGTTTGTGGCAGTACTAAGGATTGAAGCTATGGCCTCACACATGCCAGGCAAGCATGAGCCACTGAGCCCCAATCCTAGTCCTTATTTCATCCCTTTAGTTGGAATATTAAGATAGTAAATCAGGGGCTGGAGAGATGGCTCAGCAGTTAAGAACACTGGCTGCTCTTGCAGAGGACCCAGGTTCAACTCCCAACACCTACATGGTGGCTAACTACTGTCTATAACTCCAGTTCCAGGGGATCTGACACCCTCTTCTGACCTCTGTGGGCACTGCACGAGTGCACTTACATGTATGCAGACAATACACTCACAATAAAATAAAATAAAAAATAATAAAAATAAATTAGAAAAAAAAGATAGTATATAATGGCAATTGGTCCTTTGTAAGATTTTCAAAGAATCAAGGAAATTTTGTCATCTATTACATTTTCCTAGCACATGTAAGTTATTTATAGAGGCTTTAAACAGCCGAGCATGGTGGTGCATGGCTTTGATCCCAGCACTCAGGCAGAACTCTGTGAGTTCAAGGTCAGCCTGGTCTACATAGTGAGCTCCAAGCCAGCTGGGGCTACAGGGAGACCCTGTCTCAAAAAGACCAAAAAAATAAATAAATGTTTAGTGAGTCATTTCTGTCCATCTAATAAAAGTACTAATTAAAGTAACACCAATTTTATAAGAAATTATTTGAGAAGGAGAATAAAGACAATGTTTTTTAACATCCTTCTTTAATACTTACCTAAAGTTAGGCATAATCTTCCAAACAACATAAAACAAGGACTCTGGACTAAATGCAGTCTGGCTGCCTTGCCATAAAGCACAGAGTGTCTTTCTAAACTCTTCTACCAAAGACCTAGAAAAGAGGAATGGTTGATACCCTTAGCATCCATGAAAGACTGCTATTTCAATGCATAAGATTCAGTTGTCTAAAATACATAAGGAAAAATGAGAATTTTAAAAGGGCTTAGTCTTTTCTGAACTAAGTCTGACAGTTTAGTGTTTCAAAAACCCATATAAACAGCAGTAATTACTGACAAAACAACATTTTAACTACAAAGTTATCTTTGAATATATACAAGTGCTACAGTACTTGTCCACTGACTTTAAAACAAACACACAAACAATAAAGCAAGCAACAGAATCTCCTTCCCATCTCCAGCGCTTTCCCTTCTTCCCCTCACTAGGTACTTCCCAGCTGTAAGTCTGATCATCTGCTCATCTCTGCTTCAGCCAGTGCATATGGCCACAAAGTTTAGTTCTTCAGCTCCACACCAACAACCCCAAACCCAAATCTAAGAGAAACTTTCTCATGACTCTTTTTAGTCAGGCTTTTTTTATAAAAATTTTTTTATTTATTATTTTTATTTTATGTATATGCGTGTATTGCCTGCATGTAGGTAAGTGCACCCGTGTCATGCAATGCCCGTGGAGGACAGAAGAGGGCATTGGATCCCCTAGAACTGGAGTTATGGACAGTTGTTAGCTGCCATGTGGGTGCTGGGATCTGAACCCTAGTATTCTGCAAGAACATTCAGTGTTCTTAACCATTGAGCCATCTCTCCAGCCCCTTTAGTCAGGTTTTTATGGTCTCTAACAGGAACTTTTTATTGGACATCCTCTTGTCATGTCAAACTCTGTGTGTAAAGCTGCTCAAACTATATACCTACTGCTCTGTGTCTGCTGTTCCTCAACAGCCATTTTCTTCTCTCATAGAAACAGAACCCCCATTTTACCAAGGATATAAACTCCCAGGATAAAAACCTAGGAGTGTGCCCAATTCTGGGGGAATTTTCCTCAAAGAATAAAAGAATAGTTATTAATCCCTTCTTTTTCCCACTAGCTAGAAAACACTAGTAATGATGGAGCTCCCACAATATCTGGGTCTATGTGGGTAAAAACCCCACCTTAGGGCTGCTGTAAAAGAGTGAGAAGTATGATCACTTTGTGAAATAGCCCTGGACTGATAACTTCTAAATTTTCATGATAAAATAAACCATGGATGTTTAAGTTATGGTTAATTTTTGTTTTATATGCATATACCTAAACTGATATACTTCAAATTCAATTACTTTATCTCTCAGTATCTCCATCACAGGATAGTTGACTAAAGTTGACTAAGGTTATCTTAGACAGTCTCCATATCTTCTTTCTCAACCCTGTAATCCAACTGATACCTGAGACACAAACTTATATACTGGCCTGCCTCCCACCACAGACACTGAAACAAAAGGTGCTTACTTTCTTATTCTTCTTTGCAGTTAGAGCACAGGTACATAGTCTAGGTTTGGTCAGAGCAAAGGTACGTAGCCTAGGTTCTGGGCATTTGAAGCAGGAGTTAACTGACACAAAGCAGCAGGAACAGCACCAAATCCTCAGCAACAGCCATGCTCACCAGCACTGCCCCCAGTACTGTTGGCAGCAGGAGCTCGGCCATCACGCTGCACAGTGGAAATGGCAGTGTCCTTAGAGGACAGTTCTCTGTGATTCTTCTGTGGCTGTGGTATAAGCTCTAGACCTGATTTTCTACACATTCAATAACGTTAGCTTACCAACAGCCCTTTAAGAAAATCCATTTTTGGCTAAATCAACCAGAGGCAATTTTTGCAGGCTATAACCAAACCCTAAATAACACTAATACATCAAGTACTGTAGTTCTTCCCTTAACTTTTGTGCACATGTATTTTTTCCTCTTCATTTCATTGCTCTTTCGACCATAATCTTTCCAACTCTCCCTCAGCCACAGAGCCAGGGCAGCCTTTCAGAATAGTGGGAATAGGGTTGTGAGGGAATGAAATGGGCAGGCACAGAAACCTATTCATAGGTAAGTCACAGCTCTTTATTAATAAAGGTATGAAAAATTGCACTATACTATTGTGATAATATTACAGAACTTCTGAACCCCAAATAGGGCAAAGCTACAATAAATTTGAATGTAAGCTGGTCCTTAATAATCACTTCTCTGGGGGCTGGAGAGATGGCTCAGCAGTTAAGAGCATCTATTGCTTTTACAGAGGATCAGGGTTCAGTTCCCAGCACCCACATTGAGTGATTCACAACCACCTGTAACTTCAGTATCAGGGGATCTGATGTCCTCTTCTGGCCTCCTTGGGCACTGCACACGTGTGATGAACATGCACACACATAAATAATTTTTTAGTTACTTCTCTATTTTTAAGCTTTCCATATCAACTCAAAGTTGACTATTAATTTTATTAGCCCAAAGAGGTTTACCTACCAGATGAACAAATTCAGATGAACTAGTGACACGTAAGACTACACCTAGAATTCTGTGCCTATACAGATGTCTATGAAGATTCAAGTACAGTGCTAAACTTATTTTTCATGTTATAGTAAGCAAAAATAAAACAATTCCAACAACTATTAAATTATGAACTACATAAACACAAAATTTAGAAGAGTTTCTTTAAATGTGTGTATTAACTCAAATAACATAAAAATCACAGAAGAGCTCTGAGCTTTGCAGCTCAAAGCCAGAAAGGACATTTCTGATAACTCACACATTGTTATCCCCTTGGCTCCTGGTGTGGTATGTTCGCCTTCCTGCTGTTTTTCCATTCCTTAACTCCACAGCAGGCAGTTCTTTGAAATAACAGCAAAACTGCTCAATGTTACTATTTTAAAAGGAAGTGAAGAAAATTATTGTTTAAAAAAAAGAAAAGAATTTGAAGGATGGTAAAATGTTCTATGAAATCCACAAGAGTTTTTTCACTTGTTTCATTATCTAGCACTAAATGGAAATTTGGGGATTGGGGGGCGGGGCGGGGGACAGGGTCTCAATGTGTAGACCAGGTTGGCCTTGAACTCAAGAGATCTGTCTGCTTCTGCCTCTAGAGTACTGGGACCAAAGTCATGCACCACCATGCCCAGCCAGTGCAATTCTTTTACAATGAGTTTTATCATTATCTATGCACTCTAAGAAACAGTATAGATATACAACTTTGTAGAAATGAACAAATGACTTAAAAGAAAATCTCTCTTTACAAATTTTCTCCAGGGGTGGTGGAACACACCTTTAATCCTAGCTCTTGGGAAACAAAGGCAAGTGAATCTCTGAGTTTGAGGCCAGCCTGGTCTACATAATGAGTTCCAGGTCAGCCAGGGAGACATAGTGAGACTCTGTCTCAACAAAACAAAACAAAATTCCATTTTCTTCTCTATCTATAAGTTATTACCACCACAACCCAGCCTCCTCATCCCTCCATCTGTATCTCCCCAACTCTCCTTTTGAGGTAGGGACTCATATATTCCAGGCTTCCCTATAACGTCCTATGTAGTAGCCAAAGATGACCTCAAACTTCTGATCATCCTACCTTACTTCCCAAGGGCTGAGATTATGGCATGTACCACCAAACTCAGTTTATTTGATGCTGGAAATCAAGCCCAGGGCCTTATGTGTGCTAGGCAGGCAGTCTATCAACTGAGCTATATCCCCAGGTCCCAATTTTCTCTTCTTAAGGTGCTTGTTTCCAGTATTCAATAAAATAATTTCCAAAAAATAAAAACAAAGCACAAAGCCAACCATATTATTTAGACAATTATATAGCATCATAGGGACAAATCAGAAGTAACTAAGATTTTTTTAAACAAGAATAGGTAAGTGAAGCAGCAGAACCTTTAAAGAGGGCACTCCTTATCTGCAAAGTATATTGGGAAGATAACTGACTCAGGCCTTTGCCTCATTAAAATCTAAAAGTATAAAACTTTCAGAATAATTTCTTCTACAGAGGTCAGCCTTGTTGGCTATCTTATTTTTACCACTTTCTCACACTCTGAAAATCTTCTAGGCATGTGACCTTGTATCTAAGATAGTGACTCAAATAAGCTCTCTAAACTGGGTTCCCTATAGCCCAGGGGTCTTCCCTGGTCAAATCTAGCCCCCTAGTCAGTAAGCTTTTACATTTCTACATTGAGTTTTATTCTTTTTTTTTTTTTTTTTTTTTTTTTTTTTTTGGTCTTTTTGTGATAGGGTCTCCCTGTAGCCCCTGTTGTTCTGGAACTCATCATGTGGACCAGGCTGGCCTTGAACTCACAGAGATCCGCCTGCCTCTGCCTCCCACGTGCTGGGATTAAAGGCATGCACCACCATGCCTGGCCTTATCCTTTTAATTTACACACACACACCCATGAGGTTCTGCTATGTTGTCTAGGTTGGGCTTGAGCTCAAAAGTTTCCTGCCTCAGCTTCCTAAATAGCAGGGATTATGTGCATGCACCATCACATTTATCTTGGGTTTTTCATTTAGTTTAAAGGTTATTTAAATTAAAAAAAAAAAAAAAAAAGATAAGACAAAGTAGAGGGGGATAAAACAAGAGAGAGACATGTATATGATCTAAAATACTAAAGTATCTACTATCTTGCCTTTCACAGAAAAGGTTTGCTAATCCTTGCTCCAGCTTATTCAAGAAGCAATGAGAAATATATAACAGCTAACAGTTATTTTTACTTCCAAACTGTTACCCCTCAGTTTTACTTAGTTAAGGCACAGGGAGTTGAGGTAACTTCCCCCAAGACAAAAGACAAGAGTTAGAGGCAGAAAACAAGATTTGAATACTGACCATTTGCCCTTAACCTGTAGGTCAGATAATTAAAGCTCTGTCTGTAACATTACCTGAGTGACTGAAGGATGGCATTCATAAAACATGTGTTGCCCAAATTCCGAAGTCCTGTGGCACAAATGGCAGTGGTGCTTCCCTGTAAAATGGAAGAAGAGGTCATCAGCATTGCCTTCTCTTGGCTGGCTGTTTCAAACATCAAAGCTAAGCAAGGGTCTCTGAAGCTCTAGCACCATGCCAATCTGGAAGGGCACCTCTTCTATCCAATGAGTGTTTCAGACAAACCCTCTGGGTTGTTAAGGGCATGGATATTTTTGAAACTGGTTCTGATCCAAACAGGAGTATCTTATTGGACAATTGTGAAGAAATAAGCATTAATAAGAACCATAAATACATAAAGGGGAAATAAAATTTCAGAGTTAATATCTTTACAAGATTCTATTAAAAAATAAATAGAAAAATTACAAATGCAGAAGCCCCAAGTAATATATAAACTCCAACTTTTAACTGTCAAGCATGCTCAAATGACTAATATATGTTTTCCTAGTGATGGGGTATGAACCATAAAATACTACCTAAATTTCTCTTGAAAACTGAGGCTTGGTTTATCTGATTAGTTCTACAAATGCCCCAGATCCCTGAATACACCAGGAAGTGAATCCTCCAATCCAATCCAAAGCATTGCTACCTGTAATTCAGATGGGTGAGAGGCCCTTAGCTGCTGCTTCTACAAAATCTTAAGACTTTAAGCACATGCCCAAAGAAAAGACAAGCATGACAGCAAAGGGTTAAGTGCAAGGTAAAAATACTGCTGAAATATTTTTTTAACATTTTGCGATTTTTAAATTCATGAATGGTTTTCAAACTGAGGATGCATACTTTCATGGTGAAATTATATTAATAAAGCCCTCATAAACAACACTTACCAAAAGTTCAAACCAAGAGAATCTGTACGAGGGAATTTTATCAGAAAGAAGCTAGGAGTAAGTGAAATGGGGTAAGGACTGACTAAGCATTAAAGTGAACTGACAGACTCACTAGGTCCTATTAGGAAACACTGTATATAAGTGGCAAAATACTTTATAAAACACTCCAAATCAAGATACTTATTCATAAAAGTCTGTATTGAGCAATAACAACTGTTAGAGTTCTAACAAAACAGTGATTAGATCTTAATTCTTATATACGAGTAACTTTTAATTACTTACATTCACTTTTAATAACTTGCTATTTAATGATGAGATTTCCAGCAGTTTTCTTTTTCTATGTCTGTCAGCTGTGAAAGCTGAGCTATTAAAATAAAAACAGTCAAAAAGACATTAATGTATACATGCTACACAGAGTGCCAAAGGATAAATTCAAGCTGTCCTCCACATTAGAGCTCAGGGCCCGGCCTCGCTGCTTTATGAGGTCATCAAGTGACTAGTCAGACCCACAAGTATTTGAAGAGAGCTGAAGCAAAGTAGTTCATTTCCCTGGAAATCCCCATGGCCCCTCACAGCAAGGATGAGCCAGAGGTTACTCCCAGCATGGAGTCTGTAAGTCATGCCCACTCCCCAACTTTATGTGCCTAATTGATTCTCAAAATTGAGAAGATCCATTCCTCATGGAAGGAAAACCCAGGTCTTACAGAAATTTAACAGTCAGTCTCAAATATAGGCTACTTCTTTGTTAATCTGGATAAAGGTGCCATGTTTCTTTCACTCAAGTGCCTTAGTAGGCTGATCTAACTGTTAGGAATAATAAATCACAAGGATATAGGCATGTATAAATTCATCTGATTTAATTCTACTAAAAAGGACATTTCAAAATGAATCCAAACAGTACTAAAAATTCTTAAAAATCATTCAAAACTTTTCTAAGAACCAGAGTAGATGTGCATAACAAACAGAAATCATCCTACAGATTCTGGGGACTCTTCTCATATGAACCTACAGCAATGGTGTCAGCATGCACAAGTCCCATGCAAACTCAAGCTGACCAAAACCCAGAACAGAACTGTGGAAATGGACAGAAGGCCCCAATCTTAGTCCAAGAATTATTTGCAACTGATTACTACTGGGTGAGAAAGAGCTGATCACCTTAAAGGGAGAAACTCTAGATAGGCTGACTAGACCTCAGTGGATGAACTTCCACTGAGGGCCAAATGGGGACACTAACTTGACAGGATAGGCCTTAACACAAATGATAGAATGTATGAATTCCACTGGGGGTGGGGGTGGGGGCAATGGGAAAGGGGGTATAAATATGATTAAGATGTTCTATATGAAATATATAAAAATTCAATTAAAAAAATAAATCATTCAAAATTTTTCGTGACAAAAGAAATATTTTGCTTAAAATTATCAGAAAGTCATTACTATCTTCAAAACTAATCAGGGATTAATTCCATACATTATAGCATTAAAGTACTCCTTCACAAATTCTATAAATGAAGAAGTTACACACATGTACATAGTGACAGTGAATATTATTTTGGGAGGTTTAATCTACATAAGAACTTGGCTGCTAAAAATAAATGGTTGGGTTTGGGGTTTGTTTGGGGGGGGTGGTCTCTTCTGGAAACATGGTCTCCCTGTAGCCCTAGCTAGCCTGGAACTCACTCTGTAGACCAGGCTGGCCTGGAACTCATAGAGATCCACCTGCCTCTGCCTCCCAAGTGCCAGAATCAAAAGCGTATGCCACCATGCCCAGCTTAAAAATAGAAGTTTTTACATTTTATCCTCAGTGATTCTCAAAATGGTAGAATATTCTAGAACCACACTATCTAAGAGTAGTCACTCACTATATGTGGCTATTTAAATTTAGACTTAATTAAAATTTAAAGTCAGTTTCTCAGTGACATTAGAAGCTTTTCCGGTGCCTCTGTCTCTAATCCTACTGAGCATGTTTTCTCAGTTCCAATGAAAGAGCTAAATTCACTTTGGAAAAAAAGTAGTCAAATGACACAAGTACCTGAAACCCAAAATGTTTTAATTATTTTAGACTCTTCCCTTATAGCTTTATAATCTGTTTAGGCAGTGAGGATGCACAGAAGACTTTGGTTAACAGATAGACACCATATAGTGTTGGTATATTATCTTTAAATGTTCTACTAGTTTATTTTTAAGTCATCAAGGGACCCCACACACACACATCCCCACTAGATGTCATGTTTTCACAATGCTTTCAATATATCAACTGCCAAAATAAATTGCAGATGGCACCCGATGATCTGGGTGATCTGTGATGAACTACACACACTTCACTCAAGTCAGCTGTCACTCCAGGGCCAGGCTTCTATCTACCATGGCTGCAGAGGCATTGCTGTGTGTTTCTACTTAGGGCTTCAATGCTGGGTCCAGCAAAGTTTTATCTGAATAAGCAATTTGGCTCTAACAAAAAACATCTTTATATAAATTCTTTCATTAAGTCACCACAAAGCATTCATAGCTCTTTGTAATTTCAAGTTACATATCTGCTCCAACAGAAAAAAGAGAGAGAGAGAGAGAGAGAGAGAGAGAGAGAGAGAGAGAGACTGGGATCCTATGGCATAGTATAGATGCAAAACATACACTATGGCACTTAAACCTAATTTCTCTTAAAATAATACAGAAATCTTAGTCTTTCTAAGCAAATCTTTAATGCATTCAAAGGAAACTTTCTAATGCCAAATATAACTCTATAATTATCTTAATATCTTTTTTTCCTCCTTCTTTGCACCACCAAAATTCCCAATTCTAAGTAAATTGAGTAGCTTGTAAATCCGCAGGTAGTAATTTAAAAACTAAGTTCTTGGAGCTTGAATATAAGATGCTAAATGAAATATGGTCAAAGTTTCAGATATACAAACTCAAGGTTTTTTTAAAATCACATATCAATGTTTCACTCACATTAAAAACATGATGAAGGTATGGAACTCACAGACAAAAATCCCACTCAGTGATCCCTCAGCCCCACTGCAGCCCCTTTCGGTTTCCAAGATCTGCTACTTACTTTTCCAGATTTTGCAAGTGTTCTCTCACTTTCTGTACCAGGCCCAGCTTGGTATCATTAACCACAAAATCATCACAGCGATAACTGCAAGGAAAATATCAATCAATGTGTATGAAGGGCTTGAGGAAATCACAGCAATGCAAACACTAAAAGGGCTGGGTGCTGCCAGGACAGTAACATGGCTCTGTAGGCAGCTAGTACAGTGTAAGTTTAAAGAGCATTTGGAATCTGAAATGGAATGCTTTTTTTAAAGAGCCTTTTTGGAGAGCCACACAGACAATGAGCAATAGCTTCTTTTTACATTTTTATTTAAAAGCTCTCAGTATTTCATTTGAAAATGAAATAAGCTGATACCAAGCTACAAGAACCAAAAAGCTCACATTCTTTTCTGGTATGCCTAAAGCTTTAAGGTGTGAAAGAAAAGTTCCCCAAAAGAACTCCTGCACCTTGGAATGAACTTCCTGCAAGGCTGAACAACTGGTTATCACTCCAGAGACTATGGAGAGTTTGTAATGTTACAGTCCAGAGTCTAATTACCATTTATCTCGAGCCATCTTTAGCCCCCTAAACAGCCACTCCTTACCCACCTCTGTTTCTGATCTAACATCCTGTGACTAACAGATAAAAATCTTTTAGAATGTATTAACAGCAGACCACCAGGTCTCACCAATCCAAAAGCTAAGAATGTCATCATACAACCTCTAAGACCTATAGTTAAGAACCCTCCCACTTTGCTATGACCTGCCTACTGAATGTATCCACCAGTGTATTTGAAAAGTGTCTCGATTTATGACTTTTCTTTGTTCTATTACTATAAAAATGTAAGGCAACTGTTACCATGCTGGAACATGGAATTTGGGGTAACCTGAATCTATGTTCCCAGGCCATGGTCACTCATATTTGGCTCCAGAATAAACCATCTCTTATCCCCTTTGAGGTGAGAGTCATGCTTTTGTGTCAACAAAAGTGACACTTCTCAACCCAAATTAAGGGGAGTTTGGGAGAGAGACTAAAATGTAGAGAACCTACAAGGATATCTGAATAGAAAAACTAAAAAATGTACACTGTAAATATTAATTAAATAGAATTCAGATGACTTGGGCATCATAAACAAAGGTATGAAACCCTAGTTTGCATCTTATAAGAAAGTCTTAAAGCTTTGAGGAAAAATGTTTATACTATTTTTAAATATTGATAGTTTACATGTTAGCAAGTCAATAGCAGATAATACAAGGAATCACTCGATAAACTTTGACTTGTCCAAAAGCATCCCTTTTTTTTTTTTTTCCTGGAATTTTAACAAAGGTCAATTTTAACAAAAACAACTTACAGGCTAGGACAAAATTTTTGTTTTTTTTAATAAACGCAGCTTTGTATAAAGTCACTTGTTTAGTAAACAAAAAAAATAGCTTCTGAGCAAACAAAACTCTGAAAGCATGGCAGTTAGTAAAAAGTAGGTCACTCTATAACATAATTCAAAAAAATATCTCATATGTATGTAATTAATCAATTTTTAAAAAGTGGCAAGGAGAAGCAATTTTTAAAATTACATGCAAAAACATGGTTTCTGACATTTATTTGAAGGAGTGAGGTTTCAAGTGAATGTATTTAAAGACTTAAGCTACAATGTCACTTAGATAATTATTTAACACATACCCTCACTAACTGACCATGCACGATATCAATGAAGATTTCTCTAAGATAGTCCAAGTTCCCAGGGTCAATTTCTAACATTTCCACAAATAACAAAAGCAACCTTTTACACCCTGAACTGTCTCTTTCTATAATAGAAACACCACTGTAAGAACAAATTCTCTATGAGTTTTATGACAAATGCATAGAGGAATTAAATCAATGAAAAGGTTTAATTCTTTGTTCCTCTCAGCATAAATGTTGCAGGCTAAGGCCTACTTTGTCTTTATAAATCTGGGCTTAAGGCACTGGGTATCCCAGTACTACATTACTGCTCTACTTCTCACTTAAGATTTCATTTCATTTCCATAAATTTATGCATAGTTTTGACAAAACAGTACTCAAGTGTTTAAAACAAAAATCACTCCAGTTGCTAGGGTTTACTAGATGAGATGTAAGTGCAAGATGCCACTACATGTAACTGAAAAGTGAACCTCTAACAGCCCCAGAAGTGGGTACTTAGTTTCACATTAAATAACTGACTTGTTTCTTAAAGTTTTACAGGTTTTGTGGGGATTTGGGGGGATTTTTGTATGATATGGATTCAGACTAGGATATAATATCACATTTGTTAAAGTAACATTTTTATATATTGAAATATAGACTTATTTATAATTTTGCTCTGTTCTTAACCAGTTTGGCTCAATTGGGTCAAGTTGTTTCTTCTCTCCAGCTGAACTAGTCTACTTTCATCAGCAAACTAAGTAAGTTGCTCTAGACTCTAGAGCTGTGCTAATGTAGCTAAGTACCACCAGAGGAACTGAATTTTTAGAAAGTTTCCTTAATGTAAGATTTTCTTGCCAGGTATGGTGGTGCATACCTTTAATTCCAGCATTTGGAAGCCAGAGGCAGGCAGAACTCTGTGAATTGAAGGCCAGCCTGGTCTACATAGCAAGTTCCAGGCCAGCTGGGGCTATAGGAAGACCCTGTCTCAAAAAGACCAAAAAAAAAAAAAAAAGATCATCTGATACAATGTAAAACCTTTTTCTGAAATGCTACACTCATGAACTCACAGCAGCCATAATTGCCTGCACAAGTCCTGCATAAGATCAAGCCAGTCAACATGGAGTCGGGAAGGGGGTTCATGAGCCTTTACGCCTAACTGAAGAGCTATGGACAGGACAGTTGATGGCTTCTGGGGAAGGAAGAGTCAGTTTTCTTTAAGGATGTGGTTTATATTAGGTTGACCTTGCTCCAGTGGAAGGCCCTACACCAGGAGTATATGGGCAGCAGAAATTAAAGCCACCTGGGTTATTTTATTTTTTAAAAAAAAAAAGATCTGAAGTTTGGGGGTAGGGATGTGGGGGTGGATCTGGGAAGAGCTGGAGGTTGGAGGTGAATATGATCAAAATCAATTGTATTAAATTCTCAAAGCATTAATACACATAAACCTTTTTCTATTAAATACAATTTCACAGTCCACCGTAGAATGCAATACAATGTACAGGTTAGGTGTTTGCATCATTTCTAGCATTACACAGGAGGACATCACCAATCTAGTTTGTATCAACAGAGTCAAATGATTTTCCTAGAGAACAGTATGGCAATGTAATATGTTTACTTCAACATGTTATGCAGACAGCACCAGTTACAGGAATGCCTATGTAAATTGTAATTAGTAAATGGAAATATTACTACTTCATTGTAATTAATTTTCCAAGCTCAAAAAATAAGAATGGAGGGGCTGGGGAGAGGGCTCTGTAGGTTAACTGCTTGCTGTACAAGCACAAGGACTTGAGTTCGAATCCCCAGCATCCACGTAATGCTGGCTGCCAGCCTAGCTGAAACAGCAAGCTCCAGGTTCAATGAGAGACCTTGTCTCAAAAGTGAGACAAGGGCTGAGAAATGGTTCAGTAGTTAAAAGAGTATGGACTGTTCTTCTAGAGGACCAGAATTCAAATCCGAGCACTTATATCAAGATGCTCACAAATGCCTGTAACTCCAACTCCAGGAGACCTGACAACCTCTGGCATCTATGGGTATTGCACTCACTTGCACATACCGAGACACACACACACACACACACACAAATCTGCTTAAAATAATAAGACATAGAAGCAATGGAGAAGGACATTTGTTGCTGACCCCTCGCCTTCACATGTGCACACACATACATGCACCACACATACACAAAGAATGAAAAAAAAATTGACATTCAATTGAAGATACACTATTAAGACAGAATCCAGCAGAGATTAAAAAACAAAAACAATGAAGATATATCACAAATTTAATGAAGAATGAAAGTGCAGTTTGCTCTGAGAAAAGTTTTAAAGCTGTAAAAAATTTTGAGGTAAGAAACAGTATTAAAGAGAAATTTTCAGAGAATGCATTTTTAACATGTTATATTTCGATCAAAAAATAATTCAGGAAATTGGTCATATTCTATGACATAAGAAATTACATATCAAACAAAAACATGTTAGCAATTTTTAAAGGATTTAAGCCATATGACTTCTAGATTCTTACTCCAGAAACAAAGCCATTTACAAACAGATGAAAATTTTAAATATTTTGGTGAACGAAATTAAAGTTATGAAGAAAAATGAAAGTGGATATTTCACAAAACAGATCTGTAACTGAGCCTCTACCAACTAGCAGTGAATAAAGGACCTTTCTAACAATATTAAAGATCAGTAAAGTTAGTATTTAAAAAATTCCCAGTACTTTTATTTTTCAGCTTTAGATGAGTTTTTACATAGTATGCTGAACAGCATCATTTGTCAACTTGACACATCTAGGAAGGGAGAACCTCAATTGGGGAATTTCCTTCATCAAACTGGTCCCTGGGGATGTCTACAAGGCATTTTCTTCATTGTTAAGTGATGTAGGGTGGCCCAGCCCACTACATGGGTGGTACCATGGGCAGGTGGCACCCGGGTTGTATAAGAAAGAAAAGCTGGGGCTGGAGAGATGGCTGAGCTGTTAAGAGTATTGGCTGCTCTTGGAGAGGATCGAGGTTCAGATCCCAGAACCCACATGGTAGCTAACAACCATCCATAACTCCAGTTCCAGGGGATCGGATGCCCTCTTCTGGCCTCCACAGGGATTGCAAGCACATGGTGCATTTACATACATGCAGGCAAAAATATTCATAAATTTTTTTTTTTTAATTTTAAAGCAATTTGAGTATGGGCTAGAGAAGCAAGTCAGTAAGCAGTGTTCCTCCATGGTCTCTGCTTCAGTTCCTGCCTCCAGATTCCTGCCTTGAGTTCCCTCAGTGAAGGACTGTCACTTGGAAGATTAAGAAAAAATAAATCAGGGCTGGAGAGATGTCTCTGCAGTTAATAGCATTTGCTGGTCTTGCAGAAGACCTGGGTTCGATTCCCAGAACCCACATGGTGGCTAACAACTATTCGTAACTCCAGTTCCAGGGGATCTGATGCCCTCTT